TCTCAATTAAAACAAAAGAAAATAGGTTTTTTGTTTGTTTGTTTTTTTAAGTCTAGGAGCCTAACTTAGGAATATGAGAAAGAACAGAAAAAGTATAGGGAAGAAATCTTTTTAAAAATTTGAGAACATTTCTCAGGACTGAAGGATGTTCCAGAACAATAGGGTCCATTAAGTATTTAGCATAGAGTTAGACCTATGCCAAGCTTCATCTTCATGAAATTTCAGAACATTGAAGACAAGGAAAAGATCCTGGTAATTTTCAGAGGGAAAGAACGAATTTCATCTAAAAGACTGAGAATCAGAATGACATCAGACAACTCAACAATAACTCTGGAATTTGGAAGATGATGCCTCCTAAATTCTGGGAAAAATACTCTTTAACCTAGAATCATATGCCCAGACTATTAATCACATTTTAAGAGTGGAATAAAGACAATCTCAGATATGTAAATTCTCGAAAAAGTAATCTCTCATGTACTCTTTCTCCAGAAGACACTGGAGGAGTTGCTCTATCAAAAGTGGGCCAGTGTAGGGGGTACTAACAAGAAATGTATGGGGTCCAGTGTAAGCGTCAGGCCAAGTCATTCCCCGGATAAGGGTGAAGGGCCATAGACCTAGAGTTCAGAGCCTCTGTCGGGAGGCAGTGGGAGAAATGTCTTCAAGAAGCGGAAGCAGAATGCCTCATGTTTTTGTGTGGCAACTGAAGTTGAATTAGAGATGAGTTCATAGAAACGAGGTCAAAAAAAATTTTTAAGGCAATTACTAAGTAAAATAAAAAGCAAACAGGAGCTCAGTGGGTAAGTGCGTGCTTAGCATGCATGGGGTCTTGGGTTCAATCCCCAGTACCTCCCTTAAAAAAATAAAGAAAAAAATCTAGTTACCTCTCCCCAGCCACCGCCCTCCCAAATTTAAAGTAAATAGTATTTTCTAGAAAAGGAAAATCAATCATAGTTGAGTGCATAGCTAAGCTCAAGCTTAGTGAGTAGCATTTACTAATTGCTCGAGAGAAACTACAATATCACGCTATTTGGAGGGTTGGGGTGTTGTCATGGTAGAGGTGGGGTAGTTAGAGTTAAATTCTTATCTTCCTTAGTGGAACTGAACTAGAACTGAAAGGCAAAAAGGAGCAATATAAGCATATTGTTTAGACATGGAGATAAACACGAGAATCATTTCAAAAGGAGAGGGTATAATTCCATGGGTAGAGTGCTTGTTTAGCGTGCATGAGGCCCAGGGTTCAATACTCACTCCCTGCACCAAAGCTGAAAGAGGTCCTCTTTGGCAGTGAGGGCCAGGTATACCATACTGCTCACCTTGATAAGAAGCCCTGTAGAATTTATATTACACACATATATAACCTTGATGACTTTCAAAGTAAGAATTTAAAATGTTTACTAGGCTAAAAATACTAGATTAAATTTGCTAAGTTAAAAATTCATAATACTCATTAATGTTTTTAGCATCTGCTACTGTGTTTTGTTGAATCTAAGACACCACTGATCTTAAGATGCATCACTATTCTATGTATTAATAAGGAAAAAAATAGTAAAAATAAACTATATGCCACTGATCATAATAAGATGCAGGTCAATTTAAAATGTGAAGAAAATGTGTCAGACATTTGGCTGGGCAGTTACCTCTAGCCCTGCAACAGGCCTCATATTATTGTGACCATTTTACAGATGAGAAAAGTGAGACTTACAGGTGTCCTATTACTCAAGCATTTGCTAAAAATGTTTTCATTAATGAAGAAGGTGAGCCGGAGGTTCAAAGATCAGATACCATCATAGTTCAACACAAATGATGCCAACTGCTGCTACTGCTGCATTATTCCCATTGTTGCAGAAAAACGTGTTACAACTCAGTGTTACAACTCAGTTGTGACAGCAACCTGGATCCAGGGGAGAGACCAAGCAGCACTCAGAGAGTTGGAGAATTCAGGTTTATTACGCCAGCAGGCCTACAGGACTTAACACTCCAAGCTCTGGACCCGGTCTGTAGGTTTACACAGGCTTTTATAGGCTGCCAGTTTACACTTTGCAACATCATATGCAAATAAGGTATAACAAAAGTTGACTAATTAGGAACAAGCTTTGTAGAAATGGACCAATTAGGAGGGAGAGAAATAACCAATCAGGAGTGAACCCACTTTCCTAGAAGTTAGCTGTTTCAGAGGCAAAAAGTGAGATAAAGCTGCTGGGCCAGGAAACCAGATGGTGCTGGCAGGAGAGTAGTGGCCCTGCCTGGGGGGTCCTGCCGGTCTCTTTTTATGGGGCTTCCCACCTCACCATGACCTATTAGCAACTTCCCAGGACACAGAAGTGTGTTTGCAGAGCAGAAACTGAAAGGTATTGAGGGAAGAGTGCCACCAGTAGTGGAGGCTGCACCTTAACCTGACTCAAAACAAGGAAATCTCACTCAGGTCTGTCGATTTGGGTGGATCTTTGAGGGTCAAGATGTAAGCTGAGAGAGTCCCAGTTCACCCTATGTCCCAGTTCTTCCACTTAAGCATTTGTTCCAGACAGAAGTGCCCTGGTCACCCAGCTGAGGGTGTATGCTCTGCACATAACTTAAGTGTGTCTCCTCTGCAGGAGCAAGGTTCCTTTGGGGGAGGTCTAGGTGATCAGGGCGGGGGGGGGGGTTCCCTGGTTGTAGGTAACAAAAATTAGCGTAGAGTAACATTAGCAAAGAAGCAATTTTTTGAGCAGTAGCTTACATATTGAAAAGTAAAAGGGAAAGAATCAGGCCTCAGAAAGGGAGGTCCCTCCGAGGGCAAGTGTGGAGATATAGCAGAAGGTAATATCTGGAAATTCCCCTCCCAGCCCCACTAGTGAGCTAAATCATTATATCTGGTATCCAAATTCAGATTCCCAAAATAAAGCACCTGATTGGCCTAATTTAGACCTTGTGCCCGCCCCCTTAGTGCTTTGAGTGACAGTTTCTCCAAGACCAGAGGGAGGAGTGTTTCCCTGAAGGAAAATCAGTATTGGAACCAGAAAATGGGGGAAAGAATTCTGGGAAGGCAAAAACAACAGATTCTCACCCAGAGAG